CAGTCTCTTCAGCTGTGTAGTATTTTGAAGCTGCAGTTAGATTTGTTTTTATTCCCAGCGCCTAAAAACCTGGCCCTTGAAGGATGTCATAAAAACGGTAGAAAATTATTAATTTTCCATTATGCTTTTTCTACAAGTTTTGGTTCGGTTGATTTTGCATTTGGTTTAGTGAGTGAGTTTTTCCCCTCTTCCCCTCATCGCCAAGATCTCACTGGTGACTTTGTATTCTCTCCCTGAGAGACTATCTCATGTCAGTCAGTACCACATCTTAAAGGCTTCCACACTGCTAAGATTCATATTGCTATTACTCCATTTACAGATGTAACTCCATCAGTAAAGAAGAACGAAAGTAACAACAACAACAAAAACAATTAAAATGTAACTTGAAAGTTATTCTTAGCCAGGCAGTGCTGGCACAGGCCGTTAATCCCAGCACTTGGGAGGCAGAGGCAGGTGGATTTCTGAGTTCAAGGCCAGCCTTGTCTACAGAGTGAGTTCTAGGACAGCCAGGGCTACACAGAGAAACCCTGTCTCAAAAAAAAAGATAAAAAAAAAGGAAGTTATTCTTTTGAGGTGGACTTATAGCTGTCTTTGTGGGACACTTATGGATGAAGCCATGGTACTTAATGTACATTCATTAAAACGTACTGTACTTGGTTTAAAGGGCTACTTCATCATTAAATCAGGTATCAGTACTTAACTGAGGTTCTAAGTAGCTGGCATTGTTGTGACTTGGTTTCTTCAAGTGAGTAGAATGCTCGATTCAAGAGTGCAGAAGGCTCATGAGTTTTGTGTGCAAATGCTTAACTTTGGTTATTTGGTTATATAGATTCTAACTTAGCTCCAACATGTTTAACTCATTTTGTTTATCTTATAAGTTCCCCATAGACACAAGACATTAGATCTGTCAGTGCACTATGGAGTTAGAAATGTCCTATTGGTAGGCCTCAACAGTGCTGCTGTACAACCTGGCCTAAAGCTAGTTGCTTTTCTCTCCTGAGAATCCTGGCATAATTTCACTTTCTAGAACCCACCTCTTATTGACTAAGTGGGGGTGTCCTTACTCTTCTACCTAATAACTAGTCATTATGTGAGAATCAAGATGGTTTATCTTGCTCATGTGTAACATTTTTGAAAGAATTCAGTCACATTTCAGGTGTCTGTTGCTTTGAAGTCTGGTGTCAATAAGTGGAGAGACAAATGGTCTAAATTCATGGCCAGTCCAGGGCCAGCATACGACAAGGACTCCACAAACTCTATCAATATAGCTACTGGCCAGGGAGCCTGCCATGAGAAATGATGAAATACCCACATGCAGACTTCAGTGACAGAATCTGAAATGTTTATCGAGGCTTAAACTGCCCCCTTTCCTGCCATTTTGAGAGCATCTTCAGAGCAGTTGCTAAGGGTTTAAAGGTTTCAGATGTCTGTCGGCCTAACACTTGCTCTCCTCAGCCTTCAGTTTGACTTGGACTCACGGCTTCAAAAAAAAGTATGTTGTTTACAAATATTAAAAGTGTCAGGTCTATTTAGAGGGCTTTGGGTTAGTTGCAATGTTGATTTCTATGGCCATTCAGCACTCTCGCCGTCACAGACTCAGATGCACTGGCGCTTGGCTTCTGTCAGATGTGAAAAAAGGGGCACTTAATTGGGATTTCACAGTTCTTTCCACATAAGCCAGCCTAAATAAGGTGTATTTATGTATAGCGATCTGGAGCTGACTAATCTCCTGTTAAACGTGTGTATCAAAGAGATGATTTGAGGTGGTAAAATCGTTCTGCACAAAAGAACTGCCAGTCTGGTCACATCACAGCATGGAAGCCAGTTTCCTACTGCCCTAATTAGAATGACTGTAGATCTTGATTCTATTTCTGTTGGTACAGATTTTTGGTGTCACTTTATTTACAAATTTCAAATAGAGCAATGCATGGTACTATAGCAGACAGCTCAATGAAAGCTTTTCTGCATTAACATCTGATCATATTTTTTCAAAAGAACACTGATCACATGGGAGCTTGACTGCTATCTTGTCTCATGTAAACTTTTTATTTTTTTAATCTATTATTTTTCCATCATTAGGGCCACAGCCTAAGCCTGGGAACTATTTTCTTACAATAGGACAATGTGTACTTTATTTATACCTAGCATTGTTTTGCATGCCACTGGTGTGTGGCCTTCTATATTCTAAACTTGGACAAATCCCAGATGGATATGCACGGTTTTGATACATCCAGATAACATGGTAGATGTTTAATATTATATACATAGTTGTAACATTGTTGAATTTTGCTTTTTTTTCCCTACTGAGAAAATACAAAGGCAAGCCTAAAATCCTGATAGCCATGTTTAATTATGCCAAGAACTTTTGGAGAGGTAACAAGTTAACAGAACTGCTTGAAAATAAACTCAAAGATGCAACTTTCTATATCCATAGTAGTAATGGAAAGGTAGTCTTAAAAAGACCATACTCGTCTTTAAACTCTGTTTTGAGAATTTCACACAAGGGTGCTGTGTTTACATCATTTCCAGTCCATATTCTCTCCCTTCAACCACCCCCACATCCTTCTACTATCTCCCAACCTCACGACTTCTCCTTAATGCATATATGCTGAGTCTCCTTGGTGTTGCATATATGTATGTGTGGTTAAGGCTGACCCCTTGGGATTGGACAACGTGTCAGGCAGCTTGTCTCTTAAGAAGACTGCTTTTCTCTCTTACCGGTTGACCATTGCCTGTATCTCTTCCTCTGGTGCTGGGGCCTTGTGAGCTTTTTCTCCAGCTATGTTGGAATGTCACTTGGTGACACTATGGAGATCTTGTTTAGGTGACCACACTGTTATGATATCATGGACTACTCTTATAAAATGTCAAATCCAAATAAGATAATCATTTCTGTGATGGTTTTATGGTGAACACTAGAACAATTCATAATAGTAACAAAGGTACTTTTTTGTTAATTTTGGAAAACAAAACTAATGTGTCATTTCCTCTCTTTGCTCAGTTACCAGTTTTCAAAACAGCATTGAAACTTTGCTTTCTGTCTTAGAGACACTCAGATGTTAAATAAGTAAATGCAGTAATATTGATATCTCAACATTATGTGATGGGGAATAGATACTGGGCTTTTAACTAGTTTACAATTTTAAGGCCCCTGGGATTCTGCAAATACCATAAACACTTCTCTTGGGCAATCTATTTGTTTTATCGTAGCATAAATAAAGACATTGGTTAAAATAACTACATGCTTTTTGGTTTAAGAGTGCAAGTCTGAAAATATCACATTGTTTAAATATGTGTGTATGCATATTGGAATAAGATTATCTAGTGTGATCAAGAAAAGCAAAGATGTTGCCACATGGAGATAAGAGAAAATAGTAAAAATATTTTCAGGTTGAAATTTAGATTTTAAGGTCATCAGTCTCAAAAGATACCATATTTGAGGGTGTTCTGGGGTGAAGAACTAGGTTAATCTCTTATCTCTCTTCCCTTCCTGTTCTTCATTTAAAATTATTTTAGTTATTAAAAATCCGACTATAGTATGTCAGGTAATGCTGCCATGTATGTCAGGGTAAAAGCAGGTGTTAGAATTCGGGCACGATTTGGACAGACAACGCGAGGCCGATCCGGTTCCACAGGGAGGGATTTATTTAGAGAGAGGGGTGAGAGAGAGAGAAGCAGGGAAATGGTGAAGAGAAGAGAAAGAGAGGCAGGTTGGGGCGGTCCCAACTATTTAAGTGGGTGATGACCTGTAACTTCCCAGGTGCAGGTGAGCGAGACAGGTAAATTCTGGGAGTGGTTGTCTCAGTAACGAGGTAGGAGTTGCCTGCCCCTGAATATGACGTCACTGGGTTCAGACTTATACTAACAGCAGGTGTCCACTTTCAGGAATCATAACCCATATTTATACTGTATTAATGCTTTTTTTTTAAAAAAGAAGATGATATGTTGAAGCATTTAACCAGGCCTGACAGTCATAACAACAGTCTATTAGAGTCCATGGTAGTCCTTAGAGCTGTTTTTCTATGGAATGAGGAAGGGAGTTCAAAATTTTTCTTACATTTTATTTAAGTAAAGTGATTTGTTATCTCTATGATGGTGTAGTTAAGGTATCAGAACAATATACAATAATAATAATAAACCCCATCATTATTATTTAGATGCTCCAATTAGGTCTCCTTCCAACACACGCAGGATTCCATGAGCATCTCTTGACAGCTTTATGAATCCTGTGTTTGAATAAACTGAGCAGAACAGAGTTAAGGGCTGACTTACTACAGCATGCTCTCTGGCAACTAGATTTACCATGAGAGGCAATGTGATTTTGTAAATACTTTAAGAGAAGTGGCTGGGATCAGAAACAGTTCTTTTTATCATGGAGCTGCTCAAGAAATCCTCTCTTACCATCCCGAGAATCCAGCTAGCCACATCTTTCATAGAACCTGAAAATGAACACTGAGGATGATACAATCTCTTAAAAACAACCAGACATTTAAACGTGTTTCTTGGTAGGTAGAATGTTTAGAGCCATGCCATTTAATACTGTAATCCTTAGCCACAAGAGTCTCTTTAAATTTAAATGAATTTGGTCTGAAGGTTTAGTACCTATTCAAGCTAGCCGTATTTGAGCTTGGCAATTGTCTTTGGCCAGAAGCTGCCATGTTGGCCAGGGCAGATGCGGAGGACCCGTCCACCACTGCAGATGTTGCTTTCAAACTATTACCCTAGTGTGCCTTGTATAAAAGAACAGTCGCTATTCATTATTTGTAATTACAACCACACCGGCTTGAGTCTTTCCACCACATCTTCCAAATCCCGAGGAAAGTACTTGGCAAGAACTTTGACACTTTAAAATGACTTTAATTTCAGTAAAGAGTTAGAATCCAGGGGAAGGTTCAGTGATGGAGTGCTTTCACTTGGGGGTGTGTGGCTTGGGGAAGCTGGAGTTTTGAATATTGTGTAAAAGAAACGGTTAATCAATGAGATCAATGCTTTCTCTGCAGTGCCTTCCAAACCCTTCCTTCTGAGCGCCCCGCCATTCTACTCTGTGTGCTGCGGTGGGTCCTGCAGACGCCCAGCCTCCCCCACAGCTTTTTCAAGTAAGTTTTAATGCTTCATCAGCAATGCCTCAGCTATTCTGTAAACCAAAGCAGCAGGATTTAATGTGCTCCGGGAAGCTAATTGGCAGTGCAACGGCAAGGAGCTAATTCCTCACTAAAAATCACAGCGACTCCATTCAGGAGGTTTCCAGAGATTATCAAACCTAGGCACAGTGAGCGATTGTGAGCTGGTTTTCGGGCGACACTGGGCCCGGAGCTGACACGCCAAGGCAAGGGCTTGTTTTCCATTTGATACAACAGGATCTCAGAGGGACCAGTTTGACACTTTTCTGAAACCTGTAGCCACACTCTGTAAAAGGAGGTCCGAGGAAAAGGAAAGCGGGCAAAGAGAGGGCGCTGTGTGGTGTTTCCATTAGGCTTAAAATGACTAAGAAAGTCACAGGTCTAGAAAATAATTAGAAACTCGAGATCATAAAAGGGGGTTAATATTTTCAGGGCACGGGCCTCTGAGCGTTATAAAAGCAAAATTCAACTGTGTGTGGGAAAGAAGCGGAGAAACTGAACGGAGCATCGTGATGCCTGCGCTCTCTCATGCACACAGGTGTCTTGGTGTGTCTGTAAAATCTACATGCAGAGGATGAGCTGGAGAGAGAGAGAGTCAGGCAGGGGGCACGAGAAGGCCCTTGCACAGGTACACAGCCACGCCAGGTGAGAGTGGAGAAGGGGGAGTCCCAAGCCACATCCTCACGGTTGTTTCCAGTGCCCATGGGCCCGTATGTGTTCATGTGTTTTATGGAAGTTTCGGAGAGCAGTTTCCCTCCCACAGAATGACTCCCGACAAGCGAGGCAGCAAATGTTGCTGTTTAATGAGCTGCAGGCTTCGGAGCTTCTCTTTAGGAGGCCGATACTTTCCCACAGAGCCCTATACACGCCTGGGATGCGGCTACAATGGGCGACAGACCCGTGACCAATCCTCGCTTTTGCTGGACTCATCCACACGCGACCTCACCACAATTTTTCACTCTGCAGATGAACTTTAGGGACCGTTTCACAGCGAGAGGGCTTGGGCAAGGGTCATTTGTCCTTTTGTGTGGTCATAAAGCCAGGCTCTGTGCGTCAGTCTTTTCTCCTGCTTCACATTCCGAGTGAGTTTCTGGATGCCATTTAAAGCCCTTTGGCTGAAAAATAAAACAGTGAATGGAGCTGACTTTTATAGACTCGTTCTAGCTCATCTTCCCATATAGCCCTGTCCACCTGAAAGGGGATTTTAGTGGCTGAGCTGTGTGCATATAGGGGCTTGCTGAATACACAGGGCCCATTATCAACTGTGGGGATTGTGTATTAACAGGACCGATACACTGCTATTTTGGCGGTGACCTATTAATTGTCGATTTAACTAGAATGTATTGCCTTTGAATAGTGAAATAGAAGCCATGACTAAACCTTTTCCTCGCTCCTTCAAGGTGGTCCTCTATGAGGGCGACTGGAAACTTGGGCAAACCAAGGCGCCATTTATCACCAGTGAGAGGAGTGGCGGGCAAAGATGTCTGGAGAAGATGATGTTTAAACCCAGATGCTTAAAACTCATCCCGGTGTCACCTCTGTCTATTGAAGAGGTCTCACGCTTAAGTTCACATGTTTCATCTTGATATCGGATTACTCCAGCAGGTTGCTAGTGCCCCAGTTCAGGCGCTTATAAACAGGCACCGACGTCTCATATCACAGGGATGCCCACGCATGTGGGTATACATGGCAGTGCCATGCATTTATTTTATAGCAGTGTTTTAAGAGTCTCTAACCCATAAACGTTTGTGCCAGTTTAATAAATAAGGAAAAAAGAATCACTGGGGTGGTGTAACAGAGCACGTCACCTTCCCGAGAGCTCCAATGATTATTTTAAGAAGGTCGTGGTGTTTTCTCTCATTATTTCTCAGTCTTTCACACCCAGTGCCCTCTGCAGAGCTGTTGTAAATGACGCTCATCCCCTCCGGGGCTTCAAGCCCTATGTTTATCTTGCGGGGTGGGGAACCACTTGGCTTGAAAGATCAGTGTGGTTCAGACCAAGGATAGAATATACTGTCCTTGATTTGTCTGCCCTCTGAGTGTTGGCCTACTAGAGCCAGTTAGAGCGCCTACATGTGTTTTTAATAAATGGTGCTGTGTCACATTATTACTTACAACTCGGAGATGAATGTCTTATTTTCCTGTTTATGATGTTCATTCACACTGGCAGCAACTAATGGTATGGTGTGATCTTGATGTCTGTAAAGAATTCTACAGAAACAACTGGGATAACCAGGGTGTGGCTAATGAGCTTTACATCTGCAGCGATTTTTTTTTAACTGAAGGAATTTACTAGATTTTCTTTTTTAAAATAATAAGTGTTTATGTCCAAGTGGCTAAATTATTTTCCATTGCAGAAAAAAAAAGAGAGAGAGAGAGAAAGAGAATGAACTGTTCAAGTAAGTAAGCTCATGTTAAGTTTCCACTCGGACAGCCAAAAGTAAGGTTTAGAGCTAAAAGTTTTACCAAGTGTTGAAACTGATGGCTGCCATTGTTGCCTCAGAAGGTTGCCTCTTCTCTTTCTCAGAGTCCAAGATCAGTTCAGCACATCTGTAGCTAAGCAAGGGAAGGGAAATGCCGTTCCCACTCTCAGTGCGAGGGTAGGCTTTACTGCTCAAGCATGCTTACTGTCGATTAGAATTTTCTTGACCTCCTCAGATTTAGGGCTGACTCCCTGTTGCAAACATGGAAGCCATCATTCACCCAATGTCCTTCTCACATGCAGTAAACACTTTAATAGGTACAGTGCTAAGACACTGAGAACAGTAGAGAAAATTAAAAGGTACCCGTAAAAGCTGGGCCCTCCCCTAAAGCATTGCACGGAAAGAAAACCTTTGATATTACACTCATAAACTCATTTTCAAAAGGAACACATTCCCCAGCTGAAATGAAAAGGAAAGTTGTGGAAATGATGTAGATGATGACTTTTTTTTAAATCTATCTTTAAAAAAAAGAAATCTTAATTAGGTAGGCTAGCAAATTGAGTTAATTGGATGATTATTTCATTTTGTCTTTGAGTACCCAACTTGACCTTTCAAGAATGTTCTGCCCTAGAAAACAGAGCTTCAGTTTGGAGCCAACTTTATGTAAGGCCGAGCAGCGAAAACTTGTCACCAGGGCAAACTGCTCTGTGTTTCCTTGGAATATACATTTACATTTGACATATCCTATTCATTGTTGCCCCTTTTCTTTCTTGTTAAAACTTAAAAGAACATTGTATTCTCCCTAAGTTTGAGTATAGCCTTTTGTGGATAGCAGCAGGCAGGGGCATTAGTTTTACTGGATAAATGCAGTTTGGGTCTGTGGGTCTCACTTTCAAAGATGGGTAACGTGCAGATTCACAGTGGTGTCACCTGACCTGAGGGTTGGCTTTACTGCTCTAAGCTGAGGAAACCAGCCAGAGCTGTGGAAACCTAGTAAAGACTGAATGAAACTCCCCACACATATACACACACAGATATGAAATATTTAATATGTAAAGAAATTTAATTTAACCATTCTAAGATCCTTGGAGGGGCACAGCATTTTTTTTTTAAATTTAGAAAGAAGCCCAATTATTTGAATCTGTAGATTATTTGAATATAGGTATTGGCTTCTCAAAATTGATGAAGAGGCATTGCGGAGATGAATGACCTTCAGTCAACCAAGAAGAATCTTCGAAGGATCAGAGATTCGAGACAATAGGCTTTCCAAGTTGATGGCTCTATTCAAAGCTCTAGAGAGGCAGGGACAGCGTCAGAGTCTCATTCTGAAGGCTCAGGTTTTCCTTTATTTTCTGCCTGAGCGTTAAGCCCAGATGGTAATGGCGGGGACCTCCCAGGTCTACGGGCTTCTTGTCTATAACCCCATTCCCCAAGTATCACATGAAATCAAGTATAGGACTGCTTATAAAAATCTCTTGGTTCCCTAAGAGAATTTTCAACTACAGAATGGAAGAGGGTAGGACAGACTGGTTAGAACAGAGTGTGAAAAAGTGTAATGCCATCTAGTGTGTGTGTGTGTGTGTGTAGTGTATATAGTGTGCTTCAGCCATAGACTGTGCAGAGGAGGAGACCCCATCCCTGCTAGACTCCGAAAGGTTCAGATTACCCATGGCTGTTTGGTTCTGGAGACGATTTTTTTGTTTGTTTGTTTTTAATTTATCATTTTATTCATTTACATTTCAAATGATATCCCCCTTCCTGGTTACCCCTCCACAAATACCTCATCCATCTCCCCTCTCCCCCTTCTCCTTTGCCCCTATGAGGGTGCTCCTCCACCTACTTACCCACTCCTATCTTCACTCTAGCATCCCCCTACACTGGGACATCAAGCCTCCACAGGACCAAGGGCCTCCCCTCCTGTTGATGTCAGATAAGGCCATCCTCTGCTACATATGTTTCTGGAGCCATGGATCCCTCCATGTATGCTCTTTAGCTTAGTCCCTGGGAGCTCTGGGTGGTACAGTTAGTTGATATTATTCTTCATATGGGGTTGCAATCCCCTTCAGCTCCTTCAGTCCTTCCCCTAACCTTTCACTGGGGTCCCCAGACTCAGTTCAATGGTTGGCTGTGAGTATCTGCATCTGTATTGCTCAGGTGCTGTAGAAACTCTCATGGAACAGCCATACCAGGCTCCTGTCAGCAAGCGCTTCTTAGCATCAGCAATAGTGTGGGGGATTTGGTGACTGCAGATGGGATGGATCCCTAGGTAGGGCAGTCTCTGGATGGCCTTTCCTTCAGTCTCTGTTCCATTTTTTTTTGTCTCTGTCTTTCCTTTGAGCAGGAACATTTCTGGGTTAGGCACATTGAGTAGAAGACAATCAGGTAAAACCCAAGCTAAGAGGAAGTCAGAAAGTGAAAGACCTTTCCACCTTCCTCAGCAGAGGAAAACTGGCATCAGGAGATAGACTCCAGATTTAAATAGTGAAATTTGAAGAAACACTAAACAGTGTATTTTAGCTGGCCTGTTAGAGAGGCTTGGATCAAACAAATGGCTTCTCTCTCCCTGGCTCTGAGAAGCTACTGGGTTCATTGGAAGAGTGAGAGAGCTTTCTTTCTCAAAGGGCTGTTGGTGGCCTCTAGGTTGACTTATCCTGAAAGAGTCCTTGAGAGTCTGAAGCTGTCTAGATTCAATGCTGTTGTCTATACTCTTTACCTCCCTCACAAAGCCGTGGAGGTGGGTTGGGTCTAGAGGTCTATGGATTTGTTTTATTTAGTGTGGAAACTAAACAAGGCTTTTTAGAAGTGTGCTGGTCTGTACAACCCTTGGGTAGCCCTCATTGGGAAGAGAACTTGGGATAAAGCATGGCAGGGTTAGCGACCACAGGAATGATGAAGGAACCCTGCCCCTCTGAAGGTTGGTACCATGGTTGCTTGTGTCTACTAGAAAACAGATCCAAACATACATGGATTACTTGTCCATACTTCTATAATGGCTTACCTTAGTGCCTACATTTGATATTCCATCTTTTCTCCTCTGCATTTTTTACCTACTTGTAAGACCAATGCATACTGGTAGTCAGGGGGTATGAGGAACATATATCTCTGAAGAAGCCTATTTAAGACCTCCTATGGGAATAGGCATAGGACTGTTGCCCAGCGCGGGGTCAGGAAGCCAGAGAGGCTAAACCTCTCATGGACTCCTGGTGCACTGTTAACGCAGAAGAGTTGTGTTGAGTTTCCATGGTAAAATGACATGTGTGTGAGCTTGGGTAAAGGGAGTGTGGTGGAGGCCACCAATGTGATAGACACGGAAAACACACAAAGGATACAGTGTTCTTTGCATTTGCTGTAGCTTTTGCTTGTTCATTGTTGTTACTGTTCATTTTAGGCCAACCAAACCTGAGAAACTAGGCCCAGAAGTTAGTACCTGAACTTGGCTATGGGTCCAGGAGGAGGTTTACTCTTCACAGCATGAGGTTTGGCTTCAGTGCATGTCCGCCACAGTGTTAGAACTGCATTATAGATCCTCTACAGGATTCCAGGTTTTTTAACTAAAAGTAATTTGCTAGGACTTCTATTGAAAGTTTTTGGTGTATATGAATGAGTTTCATTCCCCCATTGCCTTAAGACCTAGAAATTGACATAAGCGTTAAAATCGAGTAAAAATCAGAAAACCCAGGTATAACTCTATTTAGGGAAAATTCATTTTTAAAATCACCTTTGTAGTCTATAAGGTTTTTGTACTTTGCATATAAATGTAGAAGTTTTTGGTAAATCAAAAATATTTACTTCTCTATGGTCCTGGGTTCATCCTGTGTTTGAACAAGGCCCTTTTAGTCATACTATGTCCTAATCTTGTTTCACACACCCTCAGTGGCTCTAGTGTAGCTTTCCAGTTGTCTTCTGTACTCCTCTTGGTCACACTCTGCACAATGGAAGCACCAGGCTTCTTCGTCACCCGGCGTCACCTGACGTCACCAGGCGTCATCAGGCGTCACCCGGCGTCACCTGACGTCATGCCCCTGACTCCCTCCCGATACCGGTGCTGTGAAGATGCTCTTCTGGGGATTGTCTTGTCAGCCTACCAATCTGGCTGTTTGTGTGTTGGCTGTGGTCTCTCCTGCTCTGGCTGCAGCTCCTCTCTGGCTCTGCACTGTCTGTGATGGTCACGTGCTCACCTCACTCTTAGAGCCCTTGAGCTTCTCCTCATCAACTGTGAGCACTTTAAGGACGGGTTGGATCCATCTTCGGCCCTCACTCAATGCCTATGCCACAGCCAAGTTGTTTCCGGCTGGGAAACAGATCCAAGCTTAGACTATAGACAGCAGGCATGGATTTTATGTCCATACATTCCTGTGATGATCGCAATAGTGCTCACTTTGGCTGTTCAACTTCTTCTCCTTGGCACTTTTTCCTGGTTGCAAGCGCAGTGCGTATCTTGCTGCCATGCTTTAAAGCATCACACGCAGTCTTTTCTTTGTTGCTGTTTGTTCTTCCTCTTCAGAGGTTGGATAGTTTATTCACTTCTTTGGATAGTTGCCATTCACTCCTAATTTTTGATACTTTGGGCTACGCTGTTAAATTGAATATGGTTTATAAATCAAGGGTGCCAAAATGCAGAGGGAAAGAGCCAGGCTGAACTGAGAATGTCTGGGTGGCACCTGAGCTTTGTGTCTTTTGCATAGAATTGGGCCTGCATTGTTCTAAGAACTTTGGAAGTAGCCGGGCAGTGATGGCGCACGCCTTTAATCCCAGCACTTGGGAGGCAGAGGCAGGCGGATTTCTGAGTTCGAGGCCAGCCTGGTCTACAGAGTGAGTTCCAGGACAGCCAGGGCTACACAGAGAAACCCTGTCTCGAAAATAAAAAGAATTTTGGAAGTAATTGGTGATATGTATGTATGTGTATATGTATGCGTATATGTATGTGTATGCGTATGTATCTCCCTGTAAGGACCAAGTGAGCTACCCAAGGAGAAGCAGATTTGTGGGACTGTTGATTAAGGCTGGGCTTTGAGCTATCTTTGTGCTATTTTATTTTCTCCTTGGAGCATCCTCCCATGATCAGCATTTTTCAGGTCCTCAAAGAAGTCCATAACCCAGATAGGTTAAGCAGTGTAGCTCTCGCTGTAGAGAGAACAGCCTGCCACTATGCCAACTATGAGGTACCGCTGCTCTGAGAGTCCACGGGCTTGCCCCCCCTAACCCTGTGCCCTTTTGTATTTCTCCTCTTTGCCAGGAGAAGAGCATGGGCTGCCTCTGCTGACCCAGGACTCAAATTCCAAAGCTCGAAGGGGGATTTTAAGAAGAGCTGTGTTCTCAGAGGACCAGAGAAAGGCTCTGGAGAAAATGTTTCAGAAGCAGAAATACATCAGCAAAACAGACCGAAGGAAACTCGCTGTCAGCTTGGGACTGAAGGAGTCACAGGTACCAATGGGGAGGAAGACGCCTCCTATTCCTAGTTTCAGCAGAAGTGTGACGTTTGTTCTTTTGGCAAATATATCTTGTGCCAGGTTTGTGCTCCCAAGTGTTCTGAATTTTCAGTAGGTGGAGACCCATGGGGCAAGTCCTGTGTGGAGACAGATTCACACACACGGAAGTGGCAAAGCAGAGCTACAGAATTCATTTTTTTTCTTAAATGAAGGGATATATACATATATGTCCTCGGTATTGTAGAGAGAATCTCTTGTGCCCTCTGTAAAAGTGTCACCTGTCCATTAAAAAAAAACTTATGGACAGTGAGCTGAGGCAGGAACTAGGAAGTGGGAAGTTCAGGAGACAGAGAGAAGTGGGAGGAATTCTGTTGGGAAGGCAGGCACAGGGGATTTCCCTCAACACTGGAGGAGACTGTCACATGAACCTGAGGAGAGGTAACTAACCATGTGGTATGAGTTAGACTAGTCTAAATGGTATAAATAAGTTATGAGCTAGTGGAAACGACTCAAAGCTATTGACCTAGGCATTTATTCATATACAAGAAGATTCAGAGTTGTTATTTCTGAGGACAAAGAAGCTGGGTGAAAAAAGCTTGCAGACACACACACACACACACACATATATGTGTGTGTGTATATATATATATATATATATATATATATGTACATATACATATATATATTAATGTGTGTATACATATATGATGAATCCTTGGCATATATTATATATGTGTGTATATATTATGTGTGTATTGCCTTTAATCCAGAGAAGCAGACTAAATAATCACCTTCAAAAGCAGTAGCCAATTTTCCTGTCATCCTTTTCACTTTCAATCCAAAATCGGAGAGTGAACGGGAGGCTCCTGGACACCTCTGGATGGGCTTCATTACTCTGTGCATTTCATATCTGCAGCATCTGGGCCTTCCTCATTCACTACGGTTCCACAGAGTTATGAATGCAAAGCTCGAGAGCACAGAATTCTCTCAAGATGGCCAATTACCTCCTCGAATGCTAGGATCTTTTCCTATTTCTTCTTCCACAGATATACCCCCATTCACTGCAATCCTGTCCGTTTTCTAGATAAAGAAATGCAGAAGACTGAATGTAGGTCTGGCATCATGTGGCAAAGGCGTTTGTCTGGAAGGTCATTTCTATCTCGAGCAGCCTAATAGGAACTCCTGGTTTCCTTAATCTTGAACCACCATCTGTAGCTGTGCAGGGTGTCTACATACAAGGGTGTCTCAGTTAGGCATACCATTGCTGTGATGAACCAGCATGACCAAAGCGACTTGGGATGGAAAGGGTTGGTTTGGCATCTGCTCCGTGTCACTGTTCATCATTGAAGGAAGTCAGGGCAGGAACTCAAACAGGACCAGAAAGTGGAGGAGGAACTGATGCAGAGGCCATGGGAGGGCTGCTGCTTACTAGCTTGCTCCCCACGGTTTGCTCAGCCTATAGAACCCAGAATGACCAGCCCAGGGGTGGCACCATCCACAATGGGCTGGGCCCTCCCATATCTATCAGTAATTAAGAAATTGTCCTACAGGCTTGCCTACAGTCTCATCTTACAGAGGCATTCTCTTGATTGAGGTTCCTTGCTCTCAGATGACTATAGCTTCTGTATAGTTATGTATAGTTAAGGTAAGCACCAGCCATCAGAAAGGGCAGGTAACTGAAGGGGGTGGCTATGGTGACAATAGAAACACAGCAGGCACACACCCCTTTCCTTATAGGCCCACGCTCACCAGGATATTTTGAATTGGCATAAGGAACTAAAGTGTAGAGGACCCTATCTCAAACATGTCCTAGTGTGTGAAATTGCACTGTCCCTTGAGTTCTTTCCCCTGGTAAATGGTTTATTCCACAAGCTGCCATGGCGTCCCCAATACTATTATGTTGTAGGAATCAGTCTGTTGTGTGGCGGAGGGTAATCAGTCTAGAACCTTAATTGATTGCTTTGAATTTCATGAGTCTCAGAGCAGTTTTGCATATGAATGGATCCTATGCATTATGGCTGTATCTCCAGAGTCTACTCTGTAACCATGTGCTGGGTGGGCTGTCACAATGTTGGCATCCTAGGAAGTGACTTACCAGTGGAAGTTAGATAGCAAGATTAGGGGGCTTTTCTTGATGGGTCAGACCAGTAGGAGAGCTAGTCAGGTGTTTGTAAAGATTTTTATAGAGCTGAAAATTGTGCCTCCTCCCATGTCTGCAGATGGCAGCCTTACCATGGTTGTTATGGTTTGTTTATGCTCGACCCAGGGAGTGGCACTATTAGAAAGTGTGGCCCTGTTGGAGTAGGTGTGTCACTGTGGGCATGGGCTTGAAAACTCTCATCCTAGCTGCCTGGAAGTCAGTATTCTGCTAGCAGCCTTCAGACCAAGATCTAGAACTCTTAGCTCCTCCTGCACTATGCCTGCCTGGATGCTGCCATGTTTCTACCTTGATGATAATAGACTGGACCTCTGACCCTGTAAGCCAGCCCCATTTAAATGTTGTCCTCGTAAGAGTTGCCTTGGTCATGGTGTCTGTTCACAGCAGTAAAGCCCTAAGAAAGACAATGGTCCTCAAACCCCAGGAAGTCAGGTGACAGACCTTCCTGATGGCCCTGAATTAGGGTGGCAGGTACCTCAGTAGGCCTGGTTGGGGTGCCACAGGGATAAGAAGACCGTGGTTAGAGGGGAGAACACACGAAGGTCAGGATTTCAGGGGGCTCAGGGTTATCAGCTTGAAGCAGCTTCTTAGAGAAGGAAGGAGTGTTTCATGCCGAGCAAGTACAGAGACTCTTTGATATCAAATCCCACAGCCTTTGATATGCTTCAGACCGACACCAAGGAAATGAATGATTTTCTTATTTGTACACTGTCGTTTACCTCTTAAGCCAAGCACATAGTTTCACTGAATTATCTTGTTTTCAAAATTCAGGTATCTCAGAATGGATGCTTTTTGGATTTTGTATTGAATTTCGGGGAGCATTTAATAAGCAATTTGGTGTTTCATTAACTTCCTTGTTTATCAGCTATGCAAAACAAGAGGGAAATTAGTGAGGCTACAAGTGAAAGCTCCTGTCACGTCTCCTCCTGTCATGTCTCCTCCTGTCACGTCTCCTCCTGTCATGTCTCCTCCTGTCACGTCTCTCCAATCCGGATTCATTTTTATTGCCGTTTACAAATGCTTCTTGGTTCAATTTACTGGAATATCAGATCTTAAAATGAATTTATGTATGGGACAAATATACAGAAATTGAAATTATGGTCATGTTTGCATGATGTTTACCAGTGCCCTAACATTTGGTGTCCTTTAATGCTTGCAAGAATCCTATGAAGTACATGCTATTTGTTATGTTATCCCTGCTTTACAAAAGAAGGCTGGTACTCCAATATGTAGGCGGGTGACTATCTATCTATGCAAGTGAAATATGCACTATATGTCCTTTTTGCTTTTCACAAATTATCTCTATGATGATGATCAAGCAGTAGAAGACAGAAACCCTGATAGCCCTTCTCAGTCAGCCTGTGCCCTCCAAGACCACACACCATCCCAGCTCCCAGCAAGACAGATGAGTATAGTGTGTTTCTGCTGCTTATATGAATAGATATATTCAGGCCAAGTTCTTTGTATGTGCTTCCTACTGCATTTCGTCAGGGAGATTCTTCACACCATAGCAAATGTTATGTATACTGCTTTGCTGTATCACCAACTGCATGGTGCACACAAACCATTCTGCTGTTGATAGACAGACATGTACATCCCCCAGCCTGGGCTGTCATGAGCAACACAGTTGGCCACATGGACTGGTTTGTTCCTTTTCTCAAGTGTTATGGGATGGGTCTGTTGTGGCTGGCCTGTACATCTTTTTTGTTTTCTCTCACATGAGCCGTGTTATATATCATCCTGTGGGTGTGTCAGATGTTCCCACCATGAAGTAACCTCTCCACTTTGGCCTTGCATCTCTTTGTGTACTTAAAAAAATAAGCTTCGTAAGATAGGGAACCAGGAACAGGATTTATATGTTAAAATCTCTATGCATATATTATGATAGATTAAAAATTCTTTCCAAATAGCCTTAGATAAATCTGATTTATCTAAATTTCCACTCACTCAAGTCCTTTTACTGTAAACACTTATCCTTTATTACTTTAAAAAGCTCTATCAGCCTTATGGACAATTGTATCTATTATTCTTTTAGTTTGAATTTTCCTAGCTACCAGAATTTTGGAAGCTTTTGATGATTTATTGACAATTTGAAGTATATGAATTGGCGTTTTCATGGTTGTATATACTTCCACATATTGTCCTTTTGTTGACATGCAGCAATTATTTCGGCTATTAATCAGAATATTTAGAATATTAAGAATATTGAGATTAGTTCTATTTTCACTTTACAGATATTGTAGCATTTCTCTCCACAGTTGTATGTTAATATTTAGTGTGGTAAAATATGTTTGCAAAATCAATCATTTAAATCTTTAAAGCTCTCATTTTGCCGGCATTATTTGTGTTTACAATGTTGCATAATCTTTACCACAATTCATCTCCAGAGCTTTCTTCATCTTCCAACACTGAAACTCTGTATCTATCCCAGTATCTCCTTCTTCCTCCTACTCCAGACCCCTGCCAACTACCCCCTGTATCTAATACCTCTTCCTTTCTCCTACCCCAGACCCCTGCCAATTACCCCCTGTATCTAATACCTCTTCCTTTCTCCTACCCCAGACTCCTGCCAACTACCCCCTGTACCCAATACCTCCTTCCTCCTACCCCAGGCCCCTGCTAACTCCCATTCTATTTTTCTGTTGTAGCACAGAGGCATGTGAGTGTAAGCATTTTGTATGAGTAGGGTCATATGGCATTTTTTATTAATTGAATTATTTTATTTAACATGATGTCTTCAGGTTTCATCTATATTGTAACCAGTTTCAGAATTATCTTCCTTTCTAAGGGTGAATAATGTTCCAAGGATATGGATGTTATATGGATGTGTCTTATCTGCATAACTGTTCATCTACTGATGACTTTGATCATTCCTAACATTTGGATATTATAGATGTTCCTGCTCTGAAGATATGCATGCAAATATCTCACAGATTCCTGCTTTTAATTCTTTCAAGTTGTTTGTTGCTTTTCTATATTTTTATAGTGTGTTTATTTGTACAGAAATTTCTCAGTTTTATGTAGCTAGTTCTATCTTCTCGGTTTTATTGCCTTGGGTATTTTATGGTTTGCTTTAAAAAGGATTTGTGTCCTAAAGACTATAATTATAATCTCATATATTTTCTTCTAGGACTTTTGTAGTCTCCTTTTTTATGTTCAGCTATTTAATCCACTTGGAGTTTTTGTTGTTGTTGTTGTTGTCTGTTTGTTTGTTGAGAGAGGTACACCTGCATATTTCACTAAATAGATACATTTGTCCATTAGTTGTGAAGACAATATTTCATGTTTTTTTAATGAAGAGATTACTTAGCTCAAGATCCATCTCTGTATCACTTTGCCTGATTCTCTTCATGTACCTCACACACATACATACACTTTCTTACACACACAAACACATATCTGTGTGTGCACACATGCAGATAGACACACATGGATACACACACAGACGCATGCAGACACATGCAGATATACACAGTAACGCATGCACAGACACACAGTTATTATGTACACACAGACAGAGAGACAGACACACACACTCACACACATACACACACACACATTCACACATATACACACACACACACACACACATACACACCACAGATAAATACACACAGATACAGACAGACACCCAGAGAGAAACACAGACACACACAGAGGCACACACACACAGACACACATGTGTGCACTAAGGAAAAAAGAAGGCAAGTGGGTTGAGCAAAGCAGAAGCATCCGTGGGAACCACATTCTCTTGGTGAAAATGAACTAAGGACTTGGCAAGCTCCTCAAGAGCAAATGCCCACTGCTAATTATGAATGCATCCAGAGTAGAGAGCTGAGTGCCCTGGTGTGCACGCCTTAGAGTTACTTTCTCAGCAAAAGCCTTCATCTCAGCATTGTACCTGATGTGGCTGTCATTTCGTTCAGTTGCCCGGAGTGGATTTCCTGTGCTGACATTTAAAAGGGAAAGGTGAAGAGACTCTTGTCAGTGTGGAAGGACTGTCTTCCAGTTTGCATTCTTCAGTGTGTGTGTGGAGGGCTGGGGGGGGGGGTGGAGAAGAGAGAGAGAGAGAGAGAGAGAGAGAGAGAGAGAGAGAGAGAGAGATTTATCTGATGTAGTTTAGGAAAGATCAGCCTGAACTCTAGATCTTTCTGTGTCTACTTCCTGAGTGCTGGGCTTGCAAGCATGTGTCACCATGTTTGGCTTGTGTGATGCCGGAGTTTGAATTCAGGCTTCACACATGCTAGCCAAACACTCTATTCATTGAGCTGTGTCCCCAGCTCTCTGGGTTATATATTTTAATAACTATTTTCTTGGGTAAAAGTTCTTCTTTTAATTGTTATAGTTTCCAATGGGAATCTTTTAAAAACAAATATTAAATTTGTTTACGGACAGTTCCATGCATGTTTATCAGCAGTTTTAAACCTGTGGGCCTCTCTTGACCCCTTGGGGGGAGGGTCGCACATTAGATATCATGCACATCAGATATTTACATTATGATTTTATAACAGTAGCAAAGTTACACTTGTGAAGTAGCAATGAAAATACTTTTATGGTTAGGGGTCACCACATCATGAGGATCTCAATGGAAGGGTTGCAGCACTAAGAAGGTTGAGAACCCTTGATGTATAAAGTCCATTCTGATACCTGCCATCTTTCTCTAGTCTCTCTTCCCGTTATCCTCCTTACCCCACAATGACCTTTCGAGCCTTCATTTTCTAGACTCATTGAGTTTTACTAAGGTTTTTGTTTGTTTGTTTCAAAATGAAAATGTAAACAATGCAGGAATGTAGTGTGGCAACAATGACTGTTTCTGCTTTGAAAATGTCAGGGAGGTGGTTGGGAATTATCCTGCTTAAGGATGGCTGAGTGCACAGCGGATGGGGGTGGTTCATCAAAGAGTCAGGCTGGGTCTGTGGGGGAAGCTATGACTCATATCCAACCACCATCAAACACTTCTGGTTTAATTATGACCAATTGTTATTTATTAAGACTAATTATCATAGTTTCATAAATCCTGGGAGTAATCAAAATTTGGAATCTGTATAAAGTGTACATTTATCAAAGCATTGCAAAATGTATTGTTAATTCAATGTTACATAGCTTGTGGTGAGGTCTGCATGGTAATACAGCCTAGGGACCAGGGGCTGAAGTTCTTCACTTTACTCTCCTATGTGATCTTGAGTTGGTTAATTCTTCAGACCTGTTTCCTTAAATATGACATGAAAATTTCACCAAACCATACAGTCCACCTATAGTACACACACACACACACACACACACACACCATATACACATACAAATACCCTCCACATACACATATGTATATACATATATAAACACCACACACCCCATATACACATATAACCCCCTGCACATAAACATATGTGCATGCATGCATACACATGCACAGACCACACACACACACACACACACACACACACACACTCCTCCATGAAATCAACTAACCAACCAAATATAATATTCTCAAATCAAAACACATAGGTGCGATACCAGTCAATTTTTCTTGAATAAATGTATTAGCATAGACAAAATGAAATGATGTTTTAAAGTATTTAAAACTAAGTTAATTTCAAAAGCCACAGAAATAGAGTGTAATCAGTGCACTACACTCATTCTGTTTAGAAGAGTGCCTGTGGTGTAGGGTTGATTTCTCAAGTGCCTTTGAAGGAACCCACAGGAAAAGCCACAGGGAGCCTTTAGTTAGGCCCCCAGAGTAGGAGATCTTGTAGAATGTACGGTCAAAGCAGTTAGCAGTTGAAACTGTTGAAGAAGGGTCTGGGTATGTAGTTGCCTAGCATATGTGAGGCCAACATAAAAGAAATAAGTAAAACACTCAAGTGCCGTATGTGGAATAAGGATTTTTCTCCTGATTATTTTATCAATAGGTGAAGATTTGGTTCCAGAACAGAAGGATGAAATGGCGGAATTCCAAAGAAAAGGAAGTGCTCTCCAATAGATGTCTCCAAGAAGCGAGCCTTCAGGAGGACAGGTTGGCACGGCCTGCCGTGGGCTGTCCTCTGGAGTGTCCTTCAGTGTGGGAAGTCTCCCATCCACACTCAAGTCCAGGCTGGAGGGAGGAATCTCCAGAATCTGCAGAAAGACTGACCCAGGAGAATTCAGGGGTACCAGAAGCAAATTCACTCCGAGGTGCCTTGTATCTGTGCCCTGAGAAGGGACCTAGAGACAAGGATGGACTTCATAGCACCATATGACAGGAACATTGTCTGTGTTCATCTAAAAGAATCCCTAGCCAGTAACATTTGGATTAAAGCCAGATAGATTGTGCCTCAAAACTGCCTTAAACTAATACCTTGGCATGATGCCTGAGCTGATGCCCAAGGAAAGCCACCCCACTGTTTCTTATTTAGCCCTAGACTAAGGCTCAATGTATAAATGGAGTAGAACCTTCCACAAGGTGTGATAAGACTGAAAGAAGAACCAGGGTCAGCCCAGAGCCTGTTCTGAATACATGTATATATACGTGTGTCTTTGTGTTTGTATGTATATGCTCATTAAATACATCAGCAGAAACCATTTCTTTCCAACTTTTACATGGAGAAAATTCATTTCATTGCGTATGAAGAAAAAAAAAACATCGAGCAAATATTCATTTTCAAATAGTGTAAATTTAGGCTTCATTGCTGCACAATTAATTATACCTGTATAAATTTTCATCTTCTGGCTTCTTTGGTATCTAGCTGTAAATGAATTTTAGCAAGCTTAGCAACCCTAGTCAAGTTAGCTGTGGTTAGAGACGCACTGAAGAGAGAGAAGAGGAACTCAACAGGAAACTACTATTTTTGAGTACAGTTATTAGTACCTCTAGTTTCCAGTTCTGAGGCAGATGGGGTCATCAGTGAAGAAGGTCCACATTGAGGCATTGATAGTCTTTTGGTCTCTTCTCTGTAGGGATTTCCTAGGCCAGAGTTTTCTAAACAAAATAAATGTCTGAGTGGAAGCAAGGGCTTGTCAGGTAACAAGTCAGTGTTCAGAAACTTTCTGATCATCTGTGCCAAGTAGTTTGTAATCAGTGGTCAAGATGAAGTCAAGACACAGGGTCATCAGTGTCCAACAGGACTAAAAATCCCAGGGCTGAAGGGCTCTGTGGTCAGTGCTGATTGCCCACTACACACAGTCTGAATTTCCCACCTAGTTCGTTCACACTACATATGTTAAGTGGTTTTATATAGTAAACAGACACCACCCAGATGTTTTATGATTACCTTGTAATAGTCTTTGTGTAAAAATCACATTTCTGGTAACAATTTTCTTAGTTAATCCAAATATATTAATTCTAAGTCCACAAAATAAAACAAAATGTTTTACTTTGCAGGAAATGAAGCAAAAAAAGAAAGAAAGAAAGGAAGAAAGAAAGAAAGAAAGAAAGAAAGAAAAAACAGAAATAAGAAAGGGTGTGGTTTTGAATGAATCTATGGACAAGCACACAACTTGAAGTTTCTATGGGGTATTTAATTAGGGAGCAAGTGAAGAACTGATACGGGCTTCTAGCTTGCATACCTTCTCAGTTACAGGCGTCAAGGGTTTAAAGTGTGAAGAAGAGAGATAAAAGTTGTAATCAGCACCAGGAACATCAAATGGAGTTTGAATTGGTACTTCAGCTGGTGTCTTTGTCACCTTTATGTTCCTCAAAAGTCATGTTGTCTCTGAGCTCCCTTGTAGGGTGTAGGGATCCAGGGATCTGATGACTGTTTACATTTGAAAACCTGTTCAAAAAGTGAAACCCTAGCATGCTTTCTTTAGTGCTAATTTACTGCATTTGTAGGCTGCTCTTTATTGTCAGAGACCATGCTGAGCATTCAAGGAGTATCAGCTCATTTAGTCCTCATGGCTGTAACCCTGTGACATGGACCTTGGTGTCACCGATCAGAGTTCCTGTTACTCCTCAGAGGCACTGCTTACAGAGGTGATCACTCAGAGTCTCAGGGTTAATATAGTGAGCATTCTGTGCCCAGTTTCATGACGTAAAATCTTACCAACCCTGTGGGACACACAGCACCATGGATATATTCACACAGGCTACAGGATGTCATGTGGGAGGAGGCGTTGGGGAACTCTGGTAAGATTTACTGTGGGAAGTCAGGAGTGCATAGCACTTTACAGCCGCTGGCTTGGACATTCTATTCTCATCAATAATTTTCATTTCTATTAGAGTTTGAAGTTTAGGTAAAGAATTGCGAATCTTCAACTTTGAAGCCTCTGTAGACTGTAGTCTCAGAGAAGTACCTCAGTGCATGATGGGCGTGTCCTTCTGTTCACCCACAAAGTCCTTGTATGTAGTCCTCATGTCTTGAGAATAACTGAACCTTGGGTGAGAGACACTTCTCTGGGCCATTGGATAGTCTGAGTTGTACACATGGGTGAACTACTGAATGACTTCCCCTTAGGAGCTCTGAGTTATTCTACATACAAGACAGGCTTGGTGCTCAAATATGCAGATCAGAGTTTTAATTGTCTTCCATCTGGGAATATCTCCAGGCTTAGAAAGTCAGTTTAGAGGATCATAGTGATAACACACTTAGTGTGCCCTCACACACAAGCATAGCCATGTACACACACATGTGCCCTCATACACAAACATAGCCATGGTACATACACATGTGTCCTCACACAAAGCATAATCATAGTATACATATATGTGCCTTCCCCACAAGCATAGTCATAGTACACACAAACTTGCCCTCACAAGCATAACCATGAAGCATATATGAGTACAAACATTGCCATGGTATACACATGTGCTCTCCCATACACACCATAGTCATGGCACATACATGTGCCCACATATGTATAACATGCACACATGTGCCTCCACACAGAGCATTGCCATAATACACACATGTGTGCTTTCACAAGCATAGACGTGTACATGTATGTGCCCTCACACCCATAGCCATGCTACACACCCAGTGTCCTCACACACAGCATAGCCCTACTGTACATATGCACTTTCTGCATTTTCTTGTCTAGACTGGAGTGAACAGCTAGGGCTTTGCCATAGAGGACTCTCTTCTTGTCCTCTGCTTACAAGTTCCCCAGCCCGGCCCCGTGTGAGCGTTTTCTGTTACCTAGGTGCAGGTCCCTTTCCGGAAGGGATAACATAGGAATATATTTCTTGTCTTCTTTCCAGAGAGATACTGTTTGCAATTAATACCAGGACCAGAGAATCCTGGCAGATGAAGTATTAAAAAGAACAAACCTCAAAAGACAATTTTAATTGGCTTATATGTAAATGAAATATATATATATAAATATAATACATATATATAAATATATATGTACATATATATGTAAATACATATATATATTAATATTTAGGGATTATAAATATATAAGCAGGTTAGAGATGACCACAGGCTTTGGAGACAATGACGATGCTTATCACCGGTATTTAAAAGACAGCTCTGCCTCTTTAATAATAAACAAGAAAACCAATTATTTAGCCAAGTGATTCTTAGGATTTAAGACCCATCCACATGACCATGCCATAACTGCCCAGCTCCTGTAGTACCCATAATTCCCTCCTCTAGCACCCACACTCCCCTCCCCCAGCATCCACAGCACCCCCCCAGAATTCACATCCCCCTCCTCCAGCATCCATCTTTGCGATAACTTCCCGACTCCTCCAGCATCTACACCCCCTCCACTAGCATCTACACCCCTCTACCAGCATCTACACCCCTCCTCCAGCATCCATACTCCCACTAGACTCCCCCAAATCAAAACACATATTCTTTTTGCTTCAAATATACCATTATAAATATCCTATCCTCTAAACCACCTTTCTGATGTCTCCATTCCTAAACTGCATTCTTCCTAGTGTTCAACAAGACCCAGCCTTTGTGGTCTTTGACACAATGAAGCCTATTCCATGTGTATTAGTTCTTTCTACTACATCTTGAGCCACTTGAACTCTTCCTTAGTCATTTTATTTCTTTCGGCCTCCACAGGGCATTGTGTACAAGGCATTGTCCTACCCTCAGTGTAGATATATATGAAGAAGAAAAAGGTCTTTGTCTTCGAAGAGCTTCTAAATTAGATGCCGTGCCACACAATGTTTTAACCATTGTATATTACTCCTGGCAGACCTCGGTAATTTTAAAGGAAAGAGCTAGCATCTGCAAACCTCACCTCTCTTTGCAATGAGAGTTCTTACATGCTCTATTAATCAGAAAACAACACAAGGCATCCAGCATTCCTTCCAGACACTGTTGCCACAAGAGTCAGGACGCAGAAAGGCTTCCAGGAAGAATTCACTAGCTTCCTTTGTCCACAGTGAGACATGTCTCTTTTTTTTTCTTTTTAAGGCCCCACTAGGAAGAGAGTCACATAAGTGGGAGAAATCAGGGTGGTGAATTCTTGAATATACAAGGAAGCTACTGTAGGATCAATTTATATCTTTTCCAAACTATTTCTGAAACAAGCATGTACCACAATGATGTAGGCCTTGATCCACAAAGACAGTTCTTAGCATCTAGCTATTGCTTGGGTTGCATCATGTTATTGTTTTTATTTGTGGTTATAAATAAATGCACTTGAGAACAGCTAACAAAGTAAAAGGTTATGAAATCCCAATCGACAGTACTCTTGAGAAAGAAATTTCAGTTACTTTTTAATGCATGAGTATGAAATACATATACCTAATCAGATTTGAACTGTAGTGTATATCCAGTTTCCCTGTGGTTTTTTTATTCTATTTGTTCATAAACCATCTTCCCACATTATTAAAAATCACTCAAAACTATGATAGATGCATTGTTCTATTGTAGCACTTTTAGTTCTTGGGGTGAACCAGGGAATGGTCCAGAAGATGACAGGTTGTGGGGAGAATGACCACAGGACCTTGTTCTTCAGAAAAATAATTTGTGTTTTTAATAAAAAAAAAATCTCGGCAGATGAATGAAAGTTGAGCAAATTTGGTATTATACTCTCAGGGCTATTCAGTCTCACAGTGTATCAGACATACCAGAGGGACAGTGGTTTCTAAAAGGCCACAATGAAGTCTGTCAGGATGTTCTCTACCCATTTATAGGCCAAGCAGATGTAGGTGCTTGGCTTTCAACAGAGCCAGAAGCAGAAGTCATAATATGGAATGGAAGTTCACCTCTCTCCCCGTGTGTTTTGTCATCAGATTGCTACATTGCTTAACTGTGTGTATTCTTGAGTCGGAGTTTTGAGTCTGTATTCAACATGCGTAGGACCGACCTTCAGAGGGCTGTGTCACCTGCAACTTCTTTGAATGCTTATACGAGGCTGGGATACCCACACCACCTTGATTTCTCACAATTTTGTGGTTCTTTTCTCAATGTTGCTTAAATGAAAAAAAAATATTATGGGTGTGTTGAGAAGGCTTTGAGATCAGAACATTCCAAGGTTGAACAGAGAGCTAGGAAACCTTAAATATTATTCAAACCCCAAACAGAGCCATCTAGTCTGTAATGTTAACTAAAGCTAAAAAACCACGCATGTCATATTTGGATAAAATACAGTGATAGAATTATTTCAGAAGGCACATA